TGTTTTTCTTAAGTCAGTTGTAAGTTATCAGTTCAGACTTTTATGAGAAGCTTGATGGATGCAGCCCTGAAGAGTGATYGTTCTTATTAATGGTTGGGATTTTTTTAAAGAACATACTGAAATGTGATTGAGTTTTATATGGTTTTTGCATTTCCTCGGCTTCAGCAAGGCTTTTGACACTCTCACAGCATGGGGTAGACTCGGGAAGCATTGACTGGACAAGTGGGCAGTGAGGTGGTTTGAGAACTGGCTGAACAGCAGATCCCAGAGGGCTGTAATCAGCAGCACAGGGTCTGTTTGGAGGCTGTCACCAGTGCTGTCCCCAAGGTTCAATACTGGGCCAGTCTTGTTTAACTCGTTCATCAATGAATTGGATGGAGGAGCAGATGCCTCCTCAGTGAGTTCACTGATGGCACAGAGCTGGAGGAGTGGCCAATGCCCCAGAGGCTGTGCAGCCCTTCAGATAGGCTGGAGAGATGGGCAGGGAGGAATCTTCTGAAATTCCCCAAAGGGAAGTGCAGGGTTCTGCACCTGGAGAGGAACAACCCCCTGCACCAGCACAGGCTGGGGGCTGACTGCTGGAGAGCAGCTCTGTGGGGAGGGACTGGGGATCCCAGGGGACAAGAAGCCCCCCATGAGCCAGCAGGGTGTCCTGGTGGCCAAGAAGGCCAATGGAATCCTGGGGTGCATAGGGAAGAGCACAGCCAGCAGGTCAGGGGAGGTGATCCTGCCCCTCTACTCAGCCCTGGTGAGGCAMATCTGGAGTGCTGGGTCCAGTTCTGAGCTCCTCAGGACAAGAGAGACAGGGAGCTCCTGGAGCAGCTCCAGAGGAGGGTGACAAAGATGGTTAAGGCACTGAAGCTTCTCTCTTAGGAGGAAAGGCTGGGGGAGCTGGGCCTGTTCACCCTGGAGAAGAGACACCGAGAGGGGCCCTCATCAATGTCTGAGAGTGTCTGAAGGGAGGTGCCGAGAGCACGGAGCCAGGCTCTGCTCGGTGCTGCCAAGCCATGGCACAGGAGGCAACGGGCACAGACGGATGCACAGGGAGTTCCACCTGAACATGAGGAAGAACTCCTTTAATGTGTGGGTGACTGAGCACTGGAACAGATTGCCCAGAAACATATTCCATAATCCTGTGCCATATGCTCTAGGGGTGAAGCTGCTTTAGCAGCAATGTTGGACCAAATGACTCACAAGTTTCCAACCTGACCTGTATCAGGAATCTGTGATTATCTGTCTGATTCTGGTAATCAAACAGCATAAGTATATRGAACTCCTTTATTTACTTCAGTAAGTTAATTGGTGAAATGTGTGAGCGGTTTCTTGTCTTTCTAAAATAGTAAATTTATTAAATGAGACATATCTGTTGTTTCAAAGTTAGAGGCAGAACAATGTTTTATAAAAATATATTTTAATTAATRTGATAAATGTCCTGAGTGCAACCTCTTATTTAAAAAACATACCGCTATAGCAATTTTACTGTCTCTACATACAGTTAGGGTTGTATGAAATTCTTCTTGTGAAGGAATCTGCACTATGAGTGAAGACAATGGGCATGTATCTTGCTGTGTAATCTGTGTGCTAAGATGCCTTATTATTCAGGAATATGTATATACTTGCTGTACTAATTTATTTCATGGTAAGTCACATATATAGTCCCATAAATAATTCTCCCTTCCCTCAAAAGCCTATTTTTTTAGGTTTGCTGCACTGCTTTGAAAAATGAAGTTTTCCTGTTTCTGGACACACACAGTATTTGTTTATATTCTATTTATGATCGAAATAATGATAACAAAATGGAGTTTAAGCCCTGATGCATTGTTTGACTTTGAAGACATTGGTCAGGAAGAACCTGATTTCTGTAATAGAGAGTGGCTTAAAACATCTAGGGAACAGGTCAGTGCTTTGTAGTGTGTCTCTTGATAGAAAAGCAGTAGACTCTTGTGAATCTACTTTGGTCTATAGAGAAAGCTGCTTTGAAATAGTCTGTGTGGTGTATAAAAGGGGCAAAGTAGCACAAATAGCACTGGTGAGTGATTTCACAGAGGGTTTTTTTGTTGTGGAATAAAGCTTGGAATTACCCTGCTTTCTGTCTTTTGAGGCTGTTGGTATATTTTTAATTATTTTGTTCTTACATGGTTTTTCTTAATGTTCCAATTGTGAGGGCTAGAAGTGTTTGTTAATAAAGGAAAAAAGAGATATTAAATAATTCTTGTTTGGTGAAATCTTTAATAGCTGTATGTATTGGAATTAAATCAATAATTCTGCTGAAGCAGTGACATTTATGGCTGTATTAATGGTTGYAATTTAGTTTGAGAAAAGATTAAATTTTGATGCTTTCTTTGATGAAGTAATGAAAAGGTAGAACTAGTTTAGAGTAATGAATCCCTGTGGACAGARAAGGTTTTGTCATTTGCTGAGATAACAAGAAAAACATTGAAACTTTTCTGAATGGTTGCTTAGAAGTAATGTCTTTTATCCAAACTTGGTACCAAGAGGAGGAACCCTCATCAGCTTTTACTGAAATGCAGTAAAACTGAACTCTCACCTTCTTACATTGCAGTGAGTTCTGGACCTGGAATGCAGTAAAACTAGCGTGATGCTGGCTGATTGAAGTTTTAACTAATACCTAGTCATGCTACACCTGGAGCTGCTGGATTTTCATGTTTTAGATTGTTTATGCTCAATTAAACACTTTATATACTGTTGACCACATATTGTTTTAGTTCGTAGCTGCTTTCTGTGAAGGAAAACAGCATCTAACTCAAGAAATAAAATCATTACATGGTCTGCAAAAAGTTTCTTAACCTGCTTTTGACTCTGCTGTGGGCTGGAGTTTGGGAAGCTAAAAGATAATTGCCTGTTGGTTGATCCAGCTTGGGTGAATATATTCGACTTTCCTGTTGCTCAGTTGTATTTGTGTATTGGAAAGGGAATGTTTCAGTATGTATATAGGTAGAGCTGGTAATTTGGAAGTACAATATTTACATGAGTATTAGTAGGGAGTTAATTAGTAGTTAGTTAATTAGTTGTTAATTTATTTTTCAGGACTCTAAAGTACAAAAGTAGTTGTGACATTGGATTAAGAAGAAAACGTCTGTTTTATAAATACCTATGGTGTTATGTTACCTGGTATTAAAACATAAACATGTATTTTGTAAGGTGGTGATTATGTTTAAACTATTTCCTCTGAAAATGGTGCTGACTTCATATAAGGGTCTTGTTGCAGTCTGTTGCCTTTAACTACATCAATCACAATAAATACTCTAAGAAAAAATAGTAACTACAAAACAGTGAGTGAATGTTTAATACAAAAATACTTGTCATGGTTCTGTGTTTTAAATTTTTCTCTTCTATTACTTGTGATGCTTCTTACATGTTGACTATGACAGGTCCCTTTTTCATATCTTTGCTAGGTAGCCTTTTACCAGCTCCAGCAGTAGACTTTGCATTGGTCTTCGAAAAAGATACATCTGCAGTCCTGAATAGTTTTAATTCCAACAGCCTGACATGCATTTCTGACAAATCTTGCCTTTTTAAAAGTTTGGCAAATTGGTCAAAACCAGTTTTTATTGTATTTGACCAATTGCTTTGGTCAGATTTTATTTGTATTGAGTTATCTAGGCAGTTCTTAAGGAAATACTTATCTTTATATAGATATATGTATGTGTGCAAATGCATTCAAGTAAAAAATAGTAGGTCAACTTTTTAAAATACTTATAATACAAATATTTATATAAGATTTCATGAGATTTCATTTCATCTGTTAGTCATGGAAATGAGAAGATCACTGAATGCATAATGCGAGGGGACATAAAGTAATGAACAGTGGGAATTTAGAGGTCATCATTAGTACAAGTGGTCTATCAAGCGTTTGTCATGAGTATGTACCTTAAGGGCTGCTACTGCAGCAGTTTGATCACTTTTCTATGCATGTTGAGCAAATTCCATGCAGTGGAAAAGGAAACTAGTTTTAAAAGCTAGAATGTCAAGCCTTTTATTATATCCATAAACTAAAAGCTATCAATAAAATACTGGAGTGTGTTATCCATTATTTATACAACTCTCTGCAGTGAATCTCTGTAACCACTAATGTTCAGTCTGAACAATGAGTTTAATAAAACAGAAAAGAACCTAAATATAAAGGTAGGTTTAAAAAAATTGGTCTTAAAAATGTTATTTAAAATTCTAGGCAAAATATATATCTAGTCATGGCTGTTTTAAAGACAGATGGAAATAGTAGGATTTTTAACTGTAAGAAAATGGTTACAATGCTGTCTAGGTTGGCAACCTTTGATGGTTGTAAGAAAAAATATAAAGTACTTGTAYGTGAAGGAATCATAGAATATCCTGAKTTGGAAAGGACCCATAAAGATCATCATCAAACCTCATCATCACCCTAGTCAAACCTCTTATCTCTTRATATTCAAGCTGCAGAAATACATAGGAATAACACTTGTAATGTGAACATTGAGAGTGTGTACAGGAAAAATCTTCTGCTAGTGTATGGACTCTCCAAATATGTTAAGTGTTGAACTTTTAACGCACTTTTTGAATATGTGACAACACAGTTAAGGTTATTAAATCAAGGTTAATAAATCAATCAATTCAAATCAGTTGTCCATAATGGAAAGTCTTGGGAAACTGAAGGTGTGYGTGTGAACATCAGGGCTGACATGATACATGAGAAGTTGTTTCTTAACATTCTGGCCAAATGTGAAACTTCACAGCTCAACTTGAGGCTGTGTGAGTTCAGCAGTCACGCACATCGCGCAAATTAGAAATTTTGTAAAATATTTCATAAGGCACTGCCATCTTGCAAATACCTATAGTTTTTAAAGGATATTTATAAATTTTTGCTAATCAGTTCAGCTGCATCCGTTTCCTTTTTTTATTGTTTCGGTGGGAGGGAGAAGAGAGGGAGCTGTGTCTGAGTTTATCTTTACAGCTTCAGTGTTATACTGACACATAAGGCATGATGATTTTTCTCTCCCTTTCAGAAGAGAAACCTGATTGCTCCAAGGCCCGCTGTGAGGTCCAGTTTTCTCCTCGATGTCCRGAAGATTCCATCTTAATTGAAGGCTATGCTCCTCCTGGTGAATGCTGTCCACTCCCAAGCCGCTGTGTTTGTAATCCTGCRGGCTGCTTGAGGAAGGTTTGCCAACCTGGCTATTTGAATATATTGGTTTCTAAGGCATCAGGAAAGCCAGGGGAATGCTGTGATCTCTATGAATGCAAGCCAGGTAAAATCAGACRCAATTTCTATTCCCATTTTTCATTTTTTTCTGTCTGGCGACCAAAATAATCTATGTAATTCCATACAGTAAAGCATATATAGCYACTAAATTCTTCTGATTCTACTTGAAAATTACTAAATGTAGTCAATACCCTTAAAAAATTAAAATACTATGGTAAATTTTACTTCCTTTTTTTGTTTAGATATTAATTTAAACAGAGTAGCAAGGGGAAAGTAATGTAGTRAGAACATTATTTCTGTGAATGCTACTAGGGCAAGTGACATACTTTACATACTGATTAGATTTTACCAGGGCTTTTCTTAATAGGAATACATTGCGCGTGGACAGGGAATTAGGCTTTCTGTTTCAATATCTTTGTAAATTATCAGGTACTAACCCTTAAAATGTGCAGAGCAAAAGGATTATGGAGGAGCATACTAGAAAACATTACAGCATTTTCAGTATTTACCCATCTTCCATTTCATGAGAACACAAATCACCCGTTCTTGTGATTTATCATTCCAAGTGACGTGGAAGATGTAATTCACTCTTTGATCCAGGCTTTGGTAAGATAAATAATCATAATAGAGGACTGCAAGCAAGCATATAAAATGGTATCATCCAAAGTGTTATATGCAAACAGGTTTAAGTATGCTTTAACTGTGCCTTTCCTATACTTGTTTCACATTTTCTTAAATCTTCCACAGAAAAAGGCTGTTCAGTTTTTGTATCTTCTAGTGCTTCTCTTTGTGKTTTTTTYCCTMATATATYCAATGCAATCTGACTGTGTATAAATTTAAGTAAACGTCTTTTCCTGAGTACTTGGTGGACAAGTCTTCACTTTAAKTTTTTGCTCTGAAACATTTTTTCAACTCCAGGCTTCTTTCAAATAGAATTAACTGTAATTTCTAGTTACATGGTTTCTTTGGACTCCTCCCTTGTTATGTTTCCCTTCTGTAAGTTTTTTTCTGGTAATCCACATGTCTTTAGCATGTCTTATCCACAATCGGACTAATATTTTGGTAGAGTCTTCATCAGCAAGCACTAAGTGCTGTAGAATAATTGCTGTCTGTTTCTCATACAAAACTTAAAATAAGATTTTAACTGTTTGCAAGACTTATTTCTAATGCTGTGATCCCAGGATCTTTCTGTTTCATGACTGCTGCTGAACCATTCTACTTGTACATTTTGATTCCTCACATATGCTCCAATTATGCCTTTACTGAGTTTTGTCTTGCTGACTTTGGATTATTTCGTTTTTTCAAAAGAATTCTTGCTCTAATCATACAATGATTTGGGTCSTCCCTCCCAAATATTATTTGAATTCCCATTTTGTAATTTGCAAATGAGTTTGTCCAGACTTCCCCATGGAAATTAGTTCTTGAAGGTTGTTTTCAACTTGATAGTTTTATAGAATTTCAAATTGAATATGATTCTCTGTTGTGTTAGTGAATTTATGTAACTGTGTGTTGTTTTCTGAAGCAATTTATGTTTTTTTGCTGTAGGGAGTTTTAGGAGCTGAAGGTACATGGAAATGGAAAAATGAAGTTGTGTGTTAGGAGGGTAGAAGAGCAGAGCCTTGAAGAGATGGGGAAGGAAAAAACTAACAGGATTTAAGGGAAGCATAGAGTTTTGCAAATGGGARTTAGAGAGGCCTGGTAAAAAACCTTGCATCTTCAGAGTTTGACTTGGTATCYTGAAGAATTGTAGGAAAGAAGCATTAGGGAAGAACTGAACCATGTGAATTTTTACTTAAATGCCACATTGCTAGAAAAATATGGGCTAATGCACTGTGTAAAGCCTGGGWGGTAGGTGTTCATGCAGAGATTCTTGTGGGGCTGATGTCACCAGATCTGCTGAGTATGTCACCAAGTTTTTGGAGTTAACATGTTGAACAGAGAAAAATATGTTTCCATTTTTTGCCATGGACCTAGAAACTTTGGTTCTGTGAGTAACRCTTCCAGAGTAACATTGGTTACTGGTGAGTGAGTAACGGTCTTCCTGCATCTCCCTATCTGCCTAACCAGCCTCGCTGGGATTTTGTACCAGCCTTKCAAGGGCTTTCTGGTGGAAACAAATCTGGGAGGACTACTTCCTATGACAGCAGTGCTGATTTATGCCAAGATAAAGTGCTTGCACAGTTAAAGCAGRAATTGTGTTTATTTCTGTTCCTTAAAAAAGATATCAGTGCTCTCTGGTTTACTCTGGCGTTTGAGTTGGGAGCCTTCTGCTGAGACTTGCGTATGTTCAAGGGCTGTGATTGGCAACAGAGTTAGTTAAAGAAAATAGAAAGTGTTTCCTCATCACCAAATGCTAGAATAGAAATAAAATGGCTCATTGTGAAATCTGYTTCCTCTTCTACCTCTTTTACTTTAGGGATACAACTGGAGGCATGGGTATTCAGTTAAAATGAATAGTGAAGAAATTTCCTTGCTTAGTTGTCTATCAAACTCCTGACTGATTTGTTTTAAATGTTCTTACCTGTTGCTGGACCAATCTCATCACAGTTGTGGGTATCTGCTGAGAGCAAGTATGTCATGCTCATTGTTCTACTGGGGTTGCAAAGCTGCAGCCCCAGTAGATAACCAGAGATAACCTTGGTCTGGCTCCATAAGAAAGCTTTTTTATTCCCACAAGATGTGTGTAACTGTCCATTCATGAGTAGTGAATTTAGTCAATGTGCATTGAATTTAGTTTTAAGATGGGGATTACAAAATTTAATCTGAAAATGTATTTTCAATTTTTTTTTTTTGCTTAARGATAGKTTGAGTGAGCAATCTCAAATGGAACTGCAGRATGTGTTAACAGCAAAAATAAAAATAACCCTAAGCAAGATTTGTGGGAGTGTTTATGCTAAGCCACTATGACCGAGGGCATTTTTACAAACATGTTTTTTTATTTAAAGATTGTGTTGAAATATAATTTAAAACATATTTTGCTGCAGTGTTGATACGAGCTCATACTGTCACTTTTGAATAAAACAAGCTAAATAATTTACTTTGGCAGTTGTCCAACAGGTYTGTTGTACCTTTTTTGATAACTTTTTTTGGTGTATGTGGTGCAATGGGAAATGTCATCTTTTTATTTTCTGAGATCCTTGGGAAAGCACTGGCAGATATCTGTCATAGACATAACCTGTGTTGGCAACACCACTCATTTGTCATTCTTTCAGAAGCTTTCAGAGCATTCATTCACTTATCTCCAGCATGAGCTGAAAATTACTCTTTTTTTTTCTGGTATCAAATATTGGTTTAAACACAATTGTAAAGAAAATGTTAGTGTTTGGCTTACTTCTTTTGGAAATTTTGCGCAGTTAGGGCTTGATAGAAAGTCTGAGATCAGCAGCAGAATTTAGTAGGTAGTGTGTGATGACGCACAGGGAAGTAGCTTGTGCTCCACCCTGATACAGCTTCATATTCAAAATCAGGTCTGGAGCTTTTACAGTCTTGCACTAAGGACAAGGGTCAGCAAAATCAAGTTTTTATGCACAGCTCTTTAATATACTTGRTTAAGTTACTCTACAAGGAAGTTTTATTTACCTAGGTATTAGCAGTTTCATGTTCAGAGACCTTCTGATTTGTTTGGAGGCAGCACAGGGTCTGCAACCATGGCAGGGTTACTGCTACATTCTTGTAGGAAGGTGGTAACTCTCACGTGCTTCTATATACAAATTTAATTCATGAGAAAATTCTTGAAGACTTGTGAGCAAGGGTTGATTGGGTGAATCTTCATGGATAGGAAATTGGAACATGAGTTTTTGAAGAAACAGATTTGTCTAACTGTATTTAAACCTTAAAGCTTGGAACATATTTATGAGTTCTTGGAAGACACAGATTTGGCTAACTATTTAAAAGTTCTAGGATAGACAAAACAGAGTTTAGAATAAAATATATAATWACAGCTTATAATAAACTGTTTATGAAATGTACACATGTTAATTATTGGAATCACAGTAGGGTGTGAAAAGAAAGCTAGAAGTTCAGTGGCAAATGTCAGTCTTAATTTTTAGGACAGTAGTGCAGCTAATCTGGAAGATATCTTTTAAAGAAATGAAGAATACAATTATAGACTGTTCTGTAACCTCAGAATATTTACAGTTTGTATCAATACTTTTTCCAATTTGAGAAACCTGTTTAAATCTGAAAGAAAGTAAGAATTTTTTTTTGCTTTTTCAAATATTTTTAATCTCCTGTCTGTCTTCATCTCTCTCCTGTGAGGAAACTGGGAGAGAGATGGAACTGCTCCATCTGGAGAAGGCTCAGGSAAGATCTCATCAATGCATATGAATACCYGAAGGGGRTGTAAAAGCAGAGAAAAGCAGASCTCATTMTTTTCAGTGGTGCCCAGTGATAGGACCAGAGAGGCAAGAGGCACAAAYAGAAACRCAGGAGGTTCCCTCTGAACATCAGGAAGCACTTTTTCTCCATGAGGGTGACTGAGCACTGACACAGGWTTCCCAGAGAGGTARTGGAGTCTCCATCCATGGTGATACTGAAAGCCACCCGGGCACAGTCCTGGGCAGCCAGATCTMCATGRCCTGGCTTGGGAAMCTCCAAGAGGTCCCATCCTACCTCAGCTGTTTTATGATTACCCTAATAATGTCATAATAAAGAGAAAAAATTCTATTTGATTCGTCCTGATTTGGGGTTTGTTATTTTTTTCAAGTTTGTACTTTATTAAAAAAGACAGACTGTTCAGGTTGCTTTTCAGTGCTAGTGAGCCATCTACTATCACACTGTGCCTGCTGCAGTGGAGATATGCAGAGCAGATGTAATTCTGAGGCTGATGTCTGGTTATGCCTGAGTCAGTTGTTGCTGTGTACCACTGAGTATCAAGCTTGGGAAATGCAGACCAGAAGAGAAAAAACAGGCCATTGAAGGTTATGAGCTCTTGCAAGAGGTGTAGGATTGCCAAGCTGCTTTAGTAGCTCGGTGAGCAGCTATGATAGCGTCAAAATTGCCGTGAAGTTTAATCAGTAATCACTGATCTGGTACTGTATAATTTTCAGTCTGATAGCATTCTGTTCATCATGCTTGGTCAATCAGAAAGGAGCTCATTTCTTAAAGAGGGAACTGTGTTCTTTTCTGCACTTTCTTAGGATATTTATGAAAAGGGATAGCAGATAGAGAATATCCAAGCTGGTATTGTTTATTAACATGGAAGATTTAGTACCAAATAAGATACAGATGTTTCAGCTGTCCAGAGTATGACTTACAGAATTAAATATATGTTTGGTTTTGGGGTTTTCTCTCTGCTGCATTTCTAAAGATTTGTTGTTTTCTAAGAACTGTCWGTCTTGTTATGTAGAATTCTTCATCTCACCAATGCAGAAAGRTTTGGTAATTTGCATTTCATTTTTGCGATATATAAATACAAGCAAGACAATCTAATAGAATAGTCTTTAAAATGTACTTTACACATGCACACATAAATCTATAGTGTATCTCTTTTTTTTTATTTACTCTAACACAGGTATTTTGCTGTTTAAACAGACTTTAATTGGGAAAACATTAAGCAAAAAATTGTTTACTGTTTTGAAAGCTGCAGGGAATATATATTTTCCATAATGAGGGTACTTCAATTAACTAATATTCACAGTTGTAATGATTTTTTTAGGGTTGCCTGTCTAACTTCTGWAGATTTTTTTATTAACTAATATTGGTTCAGTTGCTTCCTGAATCAATAATTTTAAAAAGTGAATCTTAAAGAGAAAGGGATGCTTTTTGCAATGTTACCTAGCAAGCATGCATTCATTGGATAATTTTTCTGACTTCAAAGGCTGATGCRTAAGTGATTGCTTATGAGGAAGTAATTTGCAAAAACCTTCTAAAGCATGAGTAAAAGAACTGTTCTTCTCCCCTTCCTCTGTAGTGTTCAGTGTGGATTGCAGCACAGTTGAATGTCCTCCTGTTCAGCAAGTTGTTTGCCCTCTGGATAGCTATGAAACCCAAGTCAGGCTGACGGCTGATGGCTGCTGCACCCTGCCCACAAGGTTGGTGTCTCGACGGCTCCGTGCTTTTACCATGCAAGCATTGTAAATACAGGATAATAATGCATGACCATAAATGATGATACAGAGTAAAAGATACATGAAGTAGGCTGTATCAGTCTGATGGAAATATTTAGAAAAGTAATCTTACTTTTTTGTAAGCAGAAAAAAAATCTTCTCAGTGCAAATGCATGAAGTTGACTTTTGCTAAAATTATTTGAGGAGACCATGTCTCTAGATTGACTTTCAGTCAGTTCAATTAATTTTGCAAAAGTTAGCTTTTGAAGCTGTTTGATGGTAAGAAATTAAAGGATGGAGATGATAGAAGATATGCTAGAGAAAATCTCATCCAGTTAAAGAAGAAAAAAAATCTAATTTTTTTGTACRTGGAAGACCACTGTAGGAAGTTGCAAGATGCAACTCTCTGGAACTGAAGGGAAACAGACATTTCAAGTACTTGCTTCGATTTAACTTCTGTTGTTGTTCAAATAGATCTAAGTCACAGATTTTTTTTTAAAAAGACAGTTTTAGAGTTGTTTTTGTTCCACAGTTATGCACTACGATGTGTGTTTCTGTTTTTACAACAAATTTCCCAAAACCTAATTCATGAATATGCCAAGTAAATACAAAATTAAGGAAAAATTAACCTCMATGAAAATACTTTGCATCAAAAGGAAAATAATTCTTGTAGACATAACTAGCTGGTTTACTTAGTATGAAGGTCTTTGCACCATAGGATATTGTCCTGTTCWCAGTCCCTTGTGTAAAGAAGTGAACAACTTGCAAAGAATTCATCAAGTAGAAGATGACAAAGGTTGTATAATCAAGGTTGTTCTCTTTTGGGTACCCTTTGGGGRCACATTTACTGTGGTGTCTTCTCTAAAACTGTTGTTTTTATGACATATGAGGGTCTCCTATTACATGGAAGATCAAAAACATTTATTTATTTAATGAAATTAGGGCAGGAAAAGAGATATGGAAAACATCATTTAATGCACTAATCCTGGTTTTTAAGATTTAAATATATTTCTAAACTTGACAGGTTTATTTRTAATTGTAGAATACTGATAAGAGTCTGCTAAGTATTTTCCTTACTCAGTGAATTCTGCAAATGTTATTTAATTCAGTTGTTTTCTTTTATTTTCCTGTGTTTTGAATTTTGTGTACTAAATATGAATTCGCAGTATCGTCCCTTTATTCTTTGACATAATTTCTGTAAACTTTCTAGGAGGTGCTATGGTGTATTTAGTTGAGAGTTGACCTSGCTAGTTGGGATTGTGCAGGACTCTGTAGATCTTGTAGTCAGCATACTGCCATTGCTGCAAATACAGCTCAGCATGTTCAAGATAGCTCGAATAAAATGCTGCTAAAGACTGTACTCAGAAAGATAGATTATAAAGTCAAAGAAGCAGTCTCAGATTAATATTTCATAAATTTAGAGTTTATATTAACACTTAGTTACCTTAATATGATAGAAGAATAATGGTACATTTTTCCTTCCAAATTTGTTTCAACTTGTTGGATTAAAAAATGGTACATAAACCAAATTATTTTTGTTTCACAAAAGTAAAACTATGTTCTATTTTTATACAGTCTAATATAACTTGTGGTTTGATTTTTCTAGTACCTGTGTGAAGGGAATGAAAAATATCCACTTTATTCTTTGTCAGTGATAACTTCGATGTTCCTTCTATCAGGAAATACAGAGTACAAGAAAATAAACCTTCATTTACTGCAGAAAAATTACCAGTTTGAAATATCTTCTATTTCTAGTACACATGTGGGAACTGACCTTAAATAAAACACTTAGAGCAAACATGTTCTTGAAAGAATCTTTTTATTTCGTCAAGAATGTTTAAAAATAAGGTCAGTTGGTTTGCTGTGCGTTAGCTGATGTCTGAAGCGTCCTTGTCCATGTGTGTGGGAAGTCAGTGATGAAACCAATATTCTCCTGTGCACAAAGATCCCAATTGTACAAGCAGGCTTACACTGTATGAATTAGTAGATAATTGGGAATTCCTGAGCCTTCTTTGAAATTGGTTGCTGCACGTTCCTGGGATCAGAGTTTAACACGAGATCAAAGCTGGGATAGATGAGTATTTGGCTCCTGGACTCTTAGGATCCGATCTTGTGATTGGAGGGGGTTTTGTGTTAACACCTTTACTGTCCTTGATGTATAAAACTGAAAAAAACCTCCACAATTAGCATAACCTAGTTTGTCTGCAGGCAGSTAGAAACAGCTGTAGTTGTCTTGTACTCCTCCACTAGTTTTTAATTTTGATGCTCAGTCTAGTTGCTATTGTGTTGTTATTGTGTGGATTCGTCTTTGGATTGCATTAAATCAGCCAAAGCAATAATACACTTTTTAATTGAGTAGGTGAGAAGGAAAGGAGGAAAAATGAATCTGGCAGCAATGTGATGCTTTACATGTTGTGTGCCTGCTAGAAATATATTTTAGTTATTTTGGTTTTAATATGGTACTGTACTTCTTAAAGAAGACCGTGCCATAGTCATCATTCATGGGCTRTAGGTAAAAATTTTACTTGGAGGGGATAATAAAGGAACATAAAGAGGGGGACAATCAGAAAAGAACGCTTTAAAATGGTTAGAGGAAGAGAAGTGCATGTATGAAAAGAGAGAGCTCCAAGTGCAGTTACTTGGAGCATGGAAATCAAGGCATTTGAATTYAGGTTCAGTGTTTCCTCAGATCTGAGAAAAGCTGCAGCTATGTAATTGAACGGTCTCTGTGAGACTTGCATGTCAAAATTATAGAAAATGTAAAAGTGCAGGTTTATGGATGAATGAGTCTACACTAGGAAAATGGGATGGTTTTCCTTAATTTTAGAATCTCTTAATAAAATAATAAGAATTATGAAATACCAACATAGCCTTTCCTGACATTCAGTTTAGAATCAGCTAATTGCATATCATATTTCTTTTTAATTGATAAGTTCAAAACAAGTGGYGCTGTATTTTTTTAGTGTACGTTTKAGAATAATTTATTAAGAGCAGATATATTRTTCCATAAGGTCATGGACTTTAGACTTTAGACAGTCATTGAGACTTCATGAAATTCTGCTTCTAAGATCAGGAACTCTTTGAAGAAATTGTTATCATGTTTCCTTTACTGCCACTAAAATAAAAGCCTAATAGCAGCAGAACCAGAAAGTAATTAAAGGAAAGTACCATGGTTAAGGATAGATGACTTGTCACAGGGCTGGTTAACAAGTTGTTGATAATTTTGCATACAGTAGGACGAGATTGACTTCTGTCTCACGTCTTGTTCTTGGCCTGCATCATGGATGTAATATGCTAGGAAAATGGAGGTCCTTGAATCTGATGTTAAATTTGCATTTTTTTTTGTGAGCAAACTCTTGAATGTATTTTCAGAATAATGAAAACTCCTCCAGCTATGCCAGGGGAAAAGTAGGAATGGTAAACATCTGATACCATAAATTCTCATTCTTGCACTCAGAGGTTACATTTAGTGTCACACTAATTTCTAATTTCTATTGCAATTTTCTATTCTATTTCTGATTTCTAATGTAGTGGTTCAGGCASAACAACACGAACAGAACTGATTTGGCATCGACATCAAATAACTGGTTGCTTCAGCTTTCATCAGACTGTTATGAGACACGCACCTGAAATTTCCAGCTATTATGTTAGGAAAGCTAAATGTTTGGAAAACAGGAAAACAGCTATTATGCTAGRAAAGTTCTTATGTTAGGAAAGCTGGTCTTGATAAAGATGCTTGTTTCTCCAAGGAGGTTGTTGAACAAAATATGTAATAGTGCACTTACAGAAAACTTTACCACAGTTTATTTAATGTAAGTTTGTTGTCTTCTGTTACAAAGTTGAACAAAAAGATGATCAGTATCAAGTTTACAGAATCGGTTAGCTTCAGATGTTCCCAGTTTCTCTGTTGTGGATCAAGTTTCTTCAAAATTTCAGATTCCTTTGGGAATTTATTTTTTAAGTGTAAAAACATTTATCAAAATCTGCTTAATTTTTTTATCTTTGAAAAATGGGACAGGACAGTGATTATCAATGGCTTATATTTTTATTGCTTACATAGTTTTGAACATGTTTGATGGGATTTTTGCAAGAAAGTAAAAGGCCTATTTGGATAGGTTTGCACCAAATATTTTTTATTGTCTTTTTTTCTTTGTGACTTTTGTCAGAATAATTTGGAAAATTAGTCTGTATTAAGGCTCTGCTTCTTGCTATAGTTTTATGCTCCTGCTTTTGTGCCGTCATCTGTTACAAATTTGGTAATTTCAATATTCATTCAGTGCTCTGGTCTCAGAGATAATTCACACACACACTCCTCCCCTCATCCCCAGCTATTCTTGGTCAGTCTTTCAAGTAAAACAAGATAACCAAGAAAACTGCCTCGACAATAGCAAGATGTTAGCATCATGCCAATATTAAAAAGAACAAAAGCTGAGTAATTAAATCTGGTTGTCTTGGTATTAGTTCTGAGAAAAATAGTGAGAATACTGATAGAGGATTGAATTAAAGATTAAAGGATGTAATTATAGCTAGAAGCAGCCAATATTGCTGAAATCTGATTTTGTCTCCTGAAGATAGTAAGCTTGCCTTTAGAACTTGAAGGCACTTGAAAGTGCCTTCCCTTTCAATTTCTGTCTTCCATCATTGCTAGTCCTTTTTTTTTRTATTGGATTCTAGATTGAAACCAAACAAACAAATGTAAAACAACTAGGATTTTTTAATTTAAATTGTCTCACTGAATTTACTTTAAAAAATGGAAATTTATCCCTGTCCCCAAACTRCTTAGCATTGAAGAAGAACATTACCTGCACCTCTCCTCCCTCAGATTTTGGAAGTGACTTTTAATTTTGTGGCTCAGTCAGCATCATTGACCATTAGCTCCTCAGACAACTCTTGCAGCATGTCCATGCCAGCTTGAATATATTGCTGAAAATATAGGATATAGTAGTATTCTTCTGTGGAGAGAGAAGCATCCAGGAGTATGTTTA